CTGCAGGGTGCCGTGGGAGGCCATCGGGACAGCGGAGGGAACACCAAGTTACCTGGACCTGCTGGAAGCGGCCGATGTCCCCCAACGGCCGCAGGAGGCCATTGGGGCCGAGGCCTCCTGCTCCCACACACTGTCCCTTCTGTGGTGCAGGGGGAGGCGAAGGGCTGCCCCTGGGGCTCACCCATCGGGTCCTGTGTAGCCCTGGGCCTCCTGAGGGCCCTTGTCGTTTTTATAACTTCTCCTTAAAGGGATCCAGTTAAACGATGACTTGAGAGTAAGACATTCAAGGCGTCAGACTCCCTGGGTTAATGGTTTGTCCAGGGGCTCTAAAGGGCAGGTTGAGCTGACGGGGGCGGGGGGGGGGGGGGGGACCTAGGAAGGAGGGACACGCTCTATGCCCCGAGCTTGGCGTTGGAGTCCCCTCCTTGGAGAAGACGGGAAGGTGCTCAGGTCAGGACAGGAGGCGAAGGTGTGTGAGCATGAAGCCTGGACCGAGTTCCCTTTTCTCAGTGACTCTGAGCCGCGCGGAGCCGGGAGAGACTGTGAAGAGGCCGCACGGAGAGGAAATGCTGGTCGCGCTCGTACCCCGATCCACTGCCCGCGTGGACCCAGAGCCGGGGCCTCCTTCCCCATGAGGGTGCCCTCTACCAGCCACTCCCAGTTTCTCTCCTTCCCAGACCACAGGCAGACAGGATTCGGCGGGCCGCCACCAGGCTTCCACGCTCTTCTTTAGGAGACTGTGTTGGGGTCACACCATCAACAGATCCAGGGAAACCCAGGTATTCTGACACCTTGGCCCCTGTTATGCACTGAATTCTGCCCCCCCCCGGCCCCCCAGTCATTTATTGAAGCCGTAACCCCCACGTGACCGTCTTTGGAGAGAGGGTCTTTAAGGGGGTTAATTAACGTTAAGCGAGGTCATAGGGTACGGTCCCAACCCAACGTGCCTGGCGTCTTTAGAAGCAGACGCCCTTCAGACACACAAGGGACATCAGGGAGGTGTGTGCTCACGGGCAAGGCCACGCGGGGACACAGTGAGGCGGCCGCCTGCAAGCCAAGGAGCGAGGCCTCAGGAGACACCAGACCTGCCGACACTTGACTGTGGACTTCCAGAGACTCCTGGAGCTGAAGCCGCCCGTCTGTCGTGTTTTGTTACGGCTGCTCAGGTAGACTAATACAGCCCCTAAGGTGCCCCTTACACCCCTCGTGTGGCACAATTCTAGCCGAGAAGCAGGGCAGGAAGCCCGCTGGGGGGAGGTGGCTTTTGGGAAAGGCAGTCTTGCTCTTGGAAAGAGGGGCGTGTGAAGAGTGACTGCCCTCTTCCTTAATCACTGTGCTGCTGCCACTGAGGAGGGGGTACCGGGAACCTTTGCCCTCATGGGGGTCGCTGCCCTGTTGAGGATGGAAGGGTAGCGGGTTGGAAGGAACCTAGATCCACGATGTTGGGCCTGAGTCACAGAAGCCTGTACGTCCTCCTCTTTGCAACATGACCTTGTGTCTTAGTCTTAGTTCGGGCTGCCCCAACAAGAGACCCTAAGCGGGGTGACTTATCCATGACAGAAATCCATTTCTCACAGTTCTGCAGGCTGTGCATCTGAGATCCTGGTGCCCGCCCGGCCAGGTTCTGGGGAGAGCCCTCTTCTGCTTACAGATGGCTAGCTTTTCATATTGTTTTTTCTCCATTGATTTTCAGACAGAATGGAAGGGAGGGAGGAGGAGGGAAGAGAGAGAAACATTGATGCGGGAGAGACACATTGAGTGGTTGCCTCCCGCATGCACCCCGATGGGGGGCGGGGATCGAGCCAGCAACTGGGGTATGTGCCTTTGACTGGGAATCGAGCCCTCAACCCTTCGGTCTGTGGGCCGATGCTCTAACCACTGAGAAACCCCAGCCAGGGCTACTTGCTTTTTTTTTTTAAAAGATTGGTTTGAGAGAGAGAGAGAGAAACATCAGTTTGTTGTTCCACTTATTGATGCATTCCCTGGCCGATTCTTGGATGTGCCCTGACTGGGAATCGAACCCACGACCTTGGTGTAAGGGGATGTGCTCTAACCGACCGAGCAGGCCAGGGTGATGGACGGTGTTACCTTCGGGCTGGAAGCTGGCTGATGGGGAGTGGCTGTTGCCTTTGAGATGAGACAGGCCAAGGGAGACGCTGCCCACAGAACCCTTTTAATGATGTGGTCTCGGTGGAATCTGTTCAGGGCGGCCCCTGGGAGGTGCCACCCTGAGCCACCGCCCCTGCTCCCTCCTCGTGCAGGTGGCCCAGGCCCTGCAGGCCCGGCGCTCCCTGTGGGGCTCTGTAGGGCCCGTTCTCCGTGCTCAGATTCCATTCTTCTCTTGGGCCGAGGCCTGGAGCGGGACCATCTGCTTCTGCTGCTCTTGCTGCTGTCGCTGCGGTTTCCCTCTCCTCCTGGGGGGCAGGAGAGCGGTGCCCTCGGTATGCAGCCTGCAGCCAGGGCTGGGGCTCTCCGCTTAGCTGTGCCCAGCTACCGGCTCTCTGCCTCAAACACCTCCCCCTCCCTGGAGACCCAGAAAGGACCCCAGGAGACAGCCCACTGGGGAGACAGGGACGAAGAGCCGAGGCCTGGAAAAGGAGGCCTGGGTTTGAGCCTCAGCGCCACCCCGGCCTGCGTGTGGGACCTGGGGTAGGTCCCTGTGCCCCTCTGGGCGGGAGCCCACCTGTTCTCCAGGTCTTGCACCGTGTCCGGCAGGGGATGGCCCAGCGTCTCCGGCAGGAGGGCGGCGACAGCGCTGGCGACCACGGGGACAGTGCCGTAGATGAAGAGAGGCATGGAGGGGAAGAGCTCCGCGGTCATGCTCACCAGGGGGCTGGCGATGCTGCCCACGCGGGCCATGGTGCTGCCCATCCCCAGGCCTGTCTGCCTGTGGGGCCCACGGGAGGACGGGCTGGTTAGTGTCTGGCATAAATGTCGAGGTGCTCCGGCACCCCTCGGTGCCTCCTCTGTCCCCCATTTCATTAGCAAACCAATTTGGCATTTGTTTTTGAGGTGAGAAGGAGGAGAAGGAGTTGGAGGAGTAGGAGGAGAAGGGGAGGAGGAGGAGGAGGAGAAGAAGAAGAAGAAGGAGGAGGAGAAAGAGGAGAAGAAGAAGAAGAAGGAGGAGGAGGAGGAGGGGGAGGAGGGGGGGGGGGGGGGGGGGAGGAGGGGGG